TAGTCACAATGCGATGGCTGTAGACATGACATACTTTTAAGTTTAACCCACATTGTTATCATTTTCTCCATCACTTTTCAAAACTAGACAGTAAACACAGCAATAAATCAAGCCCGGGTTTGTAGCACTTGCCAATTTCGGTGATAGAAATACTACCACCACATGGTCAATTTCACGCCTCCCAACATATAATCTCATTGAATACAGACTAGGGAAGAGATACACAGTAGCACACCATTATATAGTATCCCCACCATTCAGATAGAATTGATGTAAATGACCTCAAGAACATGGGTAATAGCAAAATAAGAATAAAATAAATGAGTTGATTTTTAATAATGGTTATGTTCAACAACTGGCTCATGAAATTTCAACATTCAGCTCTTGTCACCTGGTATGAGCCTTTTCCCACACACCCTGCTCTCTGTCCCGGTCCTGGGGAGCTCCAGTCTAGTGGGATTGATGAACAGTTTCATAGTGTGCAGCCATATTGTTAAATAAAAAATAGACAATAGGATTTTCCAGAGAGGGAAAGGCAGAAATCAAATAAAATTCAATGACAGACACTTTGAAAGGCAAGGTAAAATAAAGGAGGAAACACTGGAGCGTTCTCCTTGACATAGTAGAAATTGAGACAGACAGTTGATGTGCAGGGAGGCTGTGCATGAGCAAATTGAGACTGCGTGACATCAGTTTTGTTAGTCCAGCACTTACCAGAGAGCGACTTAAGTGAGAGGGCGCTGCACTCAAAATTAGGACACTGGAGTTTGAATCCCACTGACTCCTACCTGCCATGGGACAACCTCGAACAAGTCACTTACCATTCTGAGCTTCATTTTTGTTATCTGCAAAATCAGAAAGCTAGAGTAGATTTCTGGTTCTCAACAAGAGGAAGGCAGCAGAGTCCTCAGGAAGCTTTGCTAAAATATTTACTGTTCAAAATTGACATTTCTTTTTTGACCTACAAAAATGACAGTTTCTTATTGTTTAAACTAATATGTATGTCTGGACTGCATCCCCAAAGATTCTGTCAATAGACCTAAAGCGTATTTTTTTTAAAAAAAAAAGCTCCATGGGCGATTCTTATGCACTGTCTGTTTGAGAACTACTGATCCTGATCACCTCTCAAGTCCTGGCCAGCGCTAAATGCCTGTTTATAGTATTCTAATTTACTATTTGAAATAACTGCATATTAGCAAGCTGCCACTAGGTGGTGGTAGTGTGCCACAGTCACACCAAGTATACACGGCTCTGAAATTCATCATGGTGGCTCTCTGCTTAAGCCCACCATGTTTATAATGGCACATCTCCATGTGTTTGGACATGTAAAACAATGAACTTTTAAGAAACCCAATGAAATAATTAATTAGCTCATCTTTTAGAAATAAAACTCCAAACTTATGTGTTTAATATGTTTCCCAACTAACTCACAGCTGCTGCACTTTCTCTGTTCTTTGTACATACCTCAATTCCACCCCAAATTCCGTGCGCTGGCTTGTGCTGTCCCTGTTACCTGTGTGGCCTCAAACTCCCCAACCCCTAGATCTGGCATCTTCAGCTCACTCATTTCTCAGTGAAACCCTCGGGATTGCTACCCATCAGTCAAGATACTGCGTCTACATTTATGAGCATACTTCCTTCTACCTTTAGGTAGAGAGGTACCCTACCGCACTTTGTATCTTTCTTCTTCTTCCTTCTCACTCTTCTAATCTCCCTCCCTCTTATGTGTTCATTAGCTTTAAATATTGTACCAGTTTAACTTCCTAAATCCTTAAACTTCTGAGAAACCCCAAGGAATGCTGAAGAGTTAAGGGAAAAAATAAAAAGGAACAGCAAGCCCTCATTCTGTCTGACATGCAAAGTCCAGTGTTTATCTGACTCATAGGGGCTAGCCCTCTGTCTCCCTTCAGGACTCTCACTTCATAATCCCACTTAACCCCTCCCACCTGGTATGTGATAGCTCTCCTTGTGGGCATGGCTCTGTTGATTTAGTCCAAAACAAAGATCTCTTCTCTAGTTCTTAGCTCTGCCTCTCCAGGCACTTGCTTAACTGACTCAATACAGAATAAATGGTGTCGTGAAGAGCAAGGCGTGTCTGTGTGCTCACTTGCTGTGCCCAAAACTTTTATCATCATCATCATCATCATCATCGGGCCCTCTCAGAGTTCCCTTATAGCAGAGCGAGTTGGTGGTTATATATGGCTCCTGTGCTACCATTCTGGAGCTTTGTTAGTGGTGGTCAGTGTTAACTTGTGTTGAATATGTGGAAAGTAAAAAGTAGCATCCTTCTTGTTAATGACGCAACCATTGTTCAAGAACTGCATCTAGTTCCAGATTTCAGATTTTTAAAGGAAGGGGAGAAGTTGGAAAGGATCTGAGAAGAAATGCTCAAGGTGGAAAAGAACCTAGAAAGAAAGGTGACAGACCCTGTGATTTGGCCTACAGACTAAATATTGAGAGATAGGCAGCCCCAAGCACTGCTTCCATTTAAGGAAAAGAAGAGATTGCTCAGCTATTCTCCATATTCAGTGAGCATAGAACAAAGTGAAACAAGCTCATTGGGAAGCAAGCAAAAATCAGCCTCAACTAAAGGAAAAGCAAATAGTTCCTGATCCTAGACATCTGCAGTGATAGCAAACACAGAGGGTCTGAATGGTGGTAGAGCCTCAAGAAAGAAAGAAATACCTTTCAGCTTTGATAGAGATTATGTGTCTCAGCCTAAACTGAATACCTAGACAGCTAACCTCCTGGTATCTCTTTCTAAGGATTATCTGCCTCTGTTACCATTTGTTATTTTCTTGAATTCTCTCCATTAAGCCCCAAAGAAAGCTTACTTCTTCTCACTTCCTTTTCACAGAGAAAAAAATACCCGAAAGAAATAAAACCCCCCACAGCTTTAGACACCTTGAGAAAAGAGAGATTGCTTCACAGAAGGGGCCAAACTTGATATAAGGGAGGTTTAAAGTACAAAAGAGAGACAGCCTGAGACCCTGGAGCCCCAGCCTTGCCATGTTTGGGTTAGCGAGCAGCTTGGCAGAGAGCTGAGGGGGGTGAGAGGTCAGTGTCCTGCTGCCTCCCGTGTCATGTGGCTTCCAAAAGGAAAGAACTGGGAACTGAGGTCATATCCATCCATCGACATGATCTACAAAGGTCCCCAGCCATCATAAAAGAGAGATGTACTACACCATTCCTCCCAAATTCCTCGCATACAATACCTTTCCACCTGCATACTGTAGAAAAACCAGAAAGCACAGAGAAACAGAAAAAAATTTAAAATCACTCATGGTCCCACCAACCAGTGCCAACAATGCTTTTCATCTGGGGGCAGAATTTTCCAAAGTTTCTTCTGTGTTAAACCTAGGGATTTTTTTTCCCCAAAATTGGATTATATTGGGTTTAGTTCTTTAGCCGTTTTTCTTGATTCAGCCGTATATTTTTATCACCTTTTTATGTCAATAACTGTATTTTTGAAATTTCATTTTAATGGTTGCTGAATATATGAATATCTAATATGACTCTTCCAGTTCACTAATGTTGGGCGTTTAGCATCTTTCTAAATATGTTTTTATGTTACAGCTAGTGCTGTGATGGACATCCTTGTAGGTAAATCTTTGTACCATTCTTAATATTCCTTTAGAATATATTCCCTAAAGAATAACTACTGGTTCAATGGATAGGCATGTTTTTAAGGATTTTGATACAACTGCCAACTTGGCCTCCAGAAAAATCTTCTGGTGAGAGAGTACTCTTATTGGTTTGCCCACCACTCTGTCATTTTTTCAGGATTTTACCTCTCCCTTCTGTACTAGTGTCCCCTTTGTTGGGGTCATCTATCTTTGCTGTTAAGAGATTTGAAATTGATAATATTCTTTTGTACCCTTCATGGTTCTGCTTCATAGAAACAACTCTGGGGTTATCTTCTTTTTTTTTCAGAGTACATCCCTAGCTTGCAAAACCACCGAGAGATAACTCAACAATAAAAAGATAACCCCCAACCCCCCATATGTTTGGATATTAAGAAATGTGCTTCTAAATAATGTATGGATTAAAGGAGAAATCTATTAAAAATTAGGGCATGTTTTCAATTGAATGATAATGAAAATACTACATAGCAAACTCGTGGGTTGCTACTAAAACATAACTAAAAAGAAAACTTGCAGCTTTAAGAAAAGAATAAACACCAAAAATTAATGAGCTAGGAAGAATCCAGCTCAAGAAGTTAGGAAAAATGAATGAATGAATGAATGAATGAAACCCTTAAAGTCAGCAGCTCCTTAAGCGTTGTACACCCTCTCCTCTCCACAACAGTGCTTAAAAAATAAGTGGAACTTGATGAACATCAGATTGAATTTGTTAAATCTTTAAGACCATAATACCCAATATGTGGTAGTTTCAAGCTGTCAGGGTTGAGTATTCCCAATCTGATTGATCTGCCAAAACAATGCATCTAATTGTCATTTAACTTCTTCAAGCAGTAGATTCTGACTTGGGGAACGCAAGACACCTAAAGGGTGGTGAATTTAAGTGGGCTAATTGAGATTAATTTCTACAGTGTACCTGGAGTCCAGCCACCCTGGGTTACTGTAAAGCTGCATTTTCCTCATCTCTGGACACCCCAGAGAAGTGTTTTGTATTTACCAAAAATATTTTGGAGATAAAGGTTAAAGATAAATGCTTTTGTACTGTTCCATCAACACATTGCTTTCGATCGTCAGAAACCAAGAACAGGGCCTGATCCTGTGCCCATTTACATAGGCAACCATCTGCTGGAGTTAAAGAAAGTTTTGCATGTGTAAGGGACGGAGGATTAGGCTCTGGGGATCAATTTTACTCAAGGAAAAAGAAGTGATTTTAATTTCATTAATGGTCTCCTGGATGATGCTGCTACAAGTTTAATTCTCATTAAATATTCATACTGTTCAGTGCTTAGAATACTGCCTTTAGTGTCATACAGCTCAAATCGACACTAACCTGTTTTATATTTTATAACTGAATTTCAGGGCTTTTTCAGGAGAAGTCAGCAAAGCAATGCCACCTACTCCTGTCCTCGTCAGAAGAACTGTTTGATTGATCGAACCAGTAGAAACCGCTGTCAACACTGTCGATTACAGAAATGCCTTGCCGTAGGGATGTCTCGAGATGGTGAGCAATCGCAGCTTGAGCTGTGTGGTGGCATGGGGTTGTGAAGTGCTTTCTGAAACCTGGATCCAAATCTGCAAAAACATGTCCCCCTCCCCTGGCGGTGCTGTAGGTTTCACAGCACTCACTTCCTCCTCCATAGTCTGCCAGGGTCAGCTGGCTGGCTGATGGGGATGTGCGTGGAGAAGAAGTGTCTGGGTGGTCAAAACACCTTCAGATTTTTGACATTTAAGACATCACAGGTGGATGAATTGATCCAAGGTAAGTATCCTTGGAAGACATTAATAAATGTGCCTTGTTCAGGCATTGTCCCCAGAAGGAAACCAGCGGGAGCTGATTGTTACATGCTTCACACTAGTAAGCTTATTGGCAGTTGGGTTGAATTAGCTTTAATGCTAACTGGATATTTTGAATCCTATGCCAAAGTCAAGTATTTGTACATGCAGAATGTGTGAAAATAGTGCAAACCGTGGCTCAGTGACAAATGTTCTTGTCATTAAAAGATGCTATTTTAAGATATAGAGACCATCTACCATTCAATTGCAGAACATTTCAAGATCTTCCTGTAAAACTGTCTTAAGTACACTAAATAATCAACACCAGATTTCAAGACAGTTATTCTTATACAGGGAAACTGGGCAGAAAGTACAGTGGGTACATTTTAAGGACTTTTCTGAATACACTGGCTGGCTAGCTAGCTCTCCTAAGAGAAGCCTTTGAAGGAAGCAGCTCTTCCAATAGAGTTTCAGCCTGTGGAAAAATACTTCAGATGCTGAGCAGGCGTTCTTCCCGTAATCAGATGTTCTTAGGGCCTGTGCCTCCAGCAGGCATGAGTTGTGATGGCCTTCAGTAGTGGGGCACACGGTGGCCTTTTAGAATGTGTAGAAAGAAAAATGACGGCTTTGCTATCGGAATATGCAAGTCACAGAACTTAACACCGTACTCTCAGAAGGTGATATGCTCCTCTTCAGATTTCACGTTCCGAAGGCACAAAATCAACAAAGTTGGGTTCATCTTGTATGAACTTGGAAGTTAAAATCGCAAGTGGTGCGTGCATTTTCTCAAGTGCTGATCCCTTATTTCACTTACAGGATGGTGTGATTACTGTGGTTGCTATTCAGGCAAAAGTTAAAACACAATTCAGAGTCACAGCAGAATGAGTTTCACCTATGAGTTATTAATCCCCTGGGGTGTTTAGAGCACAGAGTCTTCACGCAAAAAGTAAGAGTGCCTTCAGTATGCCTTTTGGAGATTTTGCGTATAAGTGACAGCACGCATTGTTGTGGACTTGGAGTGAATTTGAGTGCTTATACAATTATAGGTGTGAAATTCAGAGCCCACATCAACTTGGCTGCTGTCCAACCAACCCCACCCACATTTGTTAAGTGAGTCCTGGAACCTGGAAATTGACCAGCATCCAGCTCACTTGTTTCCTCTCTGCAAAAGGGCAGCGTGTTCTCATTGGCAGAGAAGGAATCCACTGGGTGGTAGCCTTTGTTCCCAACTTCATGTCCATCTATGAGCTTCCTTCCCATAGCATAGATTCATAGAACTATGGTGACGGTCAAATGGGGGAATTCATCCGCCCTGTCAGGTATAAATTTAACCACAATCAATTAGGACATCTTAGTCCCTCCAGCAGAGATTTTATCTACATATACAGAGTTGGGCTGAGAAGGAAATGGGTTAGTGGGAGAGCTCAGACCAGGAAATCATGGGAGGTTTTTTCCTCAATGATCTGGGTGGTTCAGGAGAAATCATTTGGAATTCGAATCAACTAGAAAGTTCCTACAGTTGATGTTCCACTTTACATATGGGGATACAGCGCAAGGAGAAGCATTATAAATACAAATTCACCCAACAGGGTTTCTACACAGCGTTTGCCCTTTCCAAAATTCTGATATTCTTTTTTACTTAAGGCTAAATGAGAACAATAGAAAGCTTCATATAAAGATGGGTTCAAAGGCTTTAATTTATGGGGCCACCGTGACCCAAGATGAGGGAAGGGGGCTTCTTAGGTAGGTGGACTCAGAGAGGTAATTCAGGGAATTGCAAAGGCCTCTTCCAGCCTATTTAGGTCTCTCAGTGAAGCCCCAGTTTCAGCAGTTTAATCGGGGAAAAAGTCATTCGAGTTTCTTCAGTAGAATGAATGAAAGTTGAGGTTTGACCTCTTGTGCTTCGATGTACCTGTGTGAACCTGTGCATGCCTGTGCATTGGCCTGAACCCTGGGAAGAAAAAGAGATGGTCTGAGCCAGCTTAATGAATGGAGTGTGAACAGGCCCATTCAGTCACATATCAGTGGCTCCCAGTGAGCACAGGAATAGACGACAGCAGGAAAGCATAGGTGCCCGTTCCCCCAGGCCTCTTCTACCCGCTCTGGGTCTGTTTCTGGAACTTGGTTCCTCTGGGATGTGTCTGTGCTACTGGGGGTATGGGGCAGGACTGTTTTCTCCTCTGGATCCCATCCTTATTTTGTGGTTATGTGGGTTTTGATTGAGATTGTCTGAGACTTCAAAGGAGCCCCTAAACCATGCCACAGAGGATCATGAAGAAAAGTATATTGTACATGGTGTGGTTTGGCTCTTTTCTTCCAGCTGTAAAATTTGGCCGAATGTCGAAAAAGCAAAGAGACAGCTTGTACGCAGAAGTGCAAAAACACAGGATGCAGCAGCAGCAGCGAGACCACCAACAGCAGCCCGGAGAGGCCGAGCCGCTGACTCCGACCTACAACATCTCGGCCAACGGGCTGACGGAGCTGCATGACGACCTCAGCAACTACATCGACGGGCACACCCCTGAGGGGAGCAAGGCAGACTCAGCCGTCAGCAGCTTCTACCTGGACATACAGCCTTCCCCAGACCAGTCAGGTCTTGATATCAATGGAATCAAACCAGAACCAATATGTGACTACACACCAGCATCAGGTTTCTTTCCCTACTGTTCTTTCACCAACGGAGAGACTTCCCCAACTGTGTCCATGGCAGAATTAGGTAATGGCTTCCATGTTTCTATTGGGGTGTGTCACTTATGCCCTTTGAAGTAAATGGGATATGCTTGAGTTATGTTATTGAAATAATGCAGCTAGAAGGGCAACTCACCTTTACCATTTGGACCACTTCGTAATTCCACCCTACCTCCCCTCTTGCTTTTGACTGTTCACTGTTTCCCATTGTGTATCCAAGAAACACATTGGCCCTTGGGCATCAGAAATAGATCAACATGAACTTAAAGCAGTCTTAAAATGCCACGAAAAACTGTTAAGCTTAGGGACTAGCTCTATCAACTTTGTTAGTTATTTACTTTAGCTATATTCCAGGTAATGCTTTATATACTTCAAGTCATAAAAATAGCAGTCCACAAACTGAACCTGGTCCATAGACTTGTTTTTTTTGTTTGTTCATTTGTTATTTTACCAATGCAAAGTTTTGAAATTTGGAACCAGTTGGCAAAATTTTAAATCTGGACAATTCCACAAAAAATTCAGATTTTCAGCTTCTTGTGGGAGGGAAAAAAATGAGATAGGTACAGGGAACTGGCATTTGTGAATGGCACCAACTGGAATGGCACCAGGTAGGCACGAACACCTGTAGATGGGCCAACTCCACTCTTACCATTCATATCACTGCCCAGCCCCTGCAGATATCCAAGTTTTACAACCCAATATAATCTCTAACAGGGAAATTGCCTTCTTTATTTGCCAAAATGTTTTGGTGATGGATATTGGTGACAAAACTGATCTATTGGGTTGTCGGAAAAGTCATGACGCATTTTTGCAAAAACAAACATAGAAAAAGACGTCTTGACTTTTCCGACAACCCAGTATTTCATACAAGACTCCCCATACCAAAAAATCAAAAAACAAAAAACAAAAAACCTGTCATTTCCTTATTCCTGTGACATTGTTGCTTCTTGGAGATGTGACCTAGAAATGTTGATAATACAGACAATGGAAAACGTTCCATTTTGAGGAAGTTGCATTTAGCACCCTCTGTTATATTTAATCGATTTTTAAGTACAGCACTATTCTTAGGGGAACTTTGATACGAACCTTTGCAGTTTTGGAATTTGATCTGTTCCTCCCCATCATCCCTCGCACAGGGTTATAATCCTTCAGGATATTTCAATTAGTTGCTGTGGAGGTAACTCCGTTAATACGAGGAGAGAATGAAGACTTCAGATGGAAAAGAACCAGCAGGTTCTGACTTGAGCACAGAGATCCTCAGTTCACAGAAAAGACGGTGGTGTTCTTTAGATGGTTTCGCCACCTTGTACCCCATAAAACATTTTTAAGCGAAATTTATATTTCCAGTAAAATCTTTCTCCAAATAGAACAAATTGAATGTTCTTTACAGTTTTTACACAAGCACCTCTTTATGGGTCTAAATTTAAATCCACAAGAGCAGGGCCATTTTAAGCCTGGTCTTTAACCACTGAACGGCATTAAAGGTGTATCACAGCTCTTTTGATTAACAGAGAAACCTCTGAACTAGAAGCCAAGCTGAGCAGAGGTAGGTTTGATTTTATTTTTCTTGAACTAGAACAAAAACCTTCCATTTTTGTCATGAAATCTTGGTTGGCTGAGCCTTAAGCAGAACTGTAATGAAAGTAAAATTTTCAGAAATGAATAAGGATTTGATTGAAAGCTGACATGATATCATGAAAAATGACCTGGCTTACTTTAGATCTGCTTCTATCTTATCATAAATACTAGTGGATCTATCCTGCTCGCTTGTCAAATATTCAACCCTGAAATAAATCCACGGGGCTTCGCCAAAGTGTCGCCCTTGAATATGGCACTTTGGTTAAAAATGCACTAAAACCTGAGTGGGGCCAGATACGGCTAAGCCCATTCCCCCAGCTCTGCTTTCCCCCACAAAGCACTTTCTTCCGTATTTGTCACCTCCCAGTGTAACATGAGAACCCTTATGCCCACATATTTTCTCCATGCTCTCCTAAATTGGGCATTTTCACATGTATTGTGGCATTTTCCAGGGTGAATAGAATTAACATGTCACTGGGATTAGTCCCAAACCCAAAACTGAACAAGAATTTATTTGAAACCGATATAACTGGGCTCTAATTTTCTATCCCACGTACATGGACAAAATAGTTTGAAGAGCTAAGAGCAGCATAAAAGTGGCCAGACTTTGCTGCTCCATCTTTAAAGCTGTATTTTTGGGGGTGGCTTAAGCCCCGCTCCCTTTCACTAACACTCTTGACTTCATTTTAGGCTGAATTTTGTCATCAGACTTTCAACAAATGAAAACAGTTATCCAATTGGAAAATAAATTATAAATTAACATATCCTAAGCCTAATTCTGTCTTTCAATAATAGTATCTACAGTCCATTACTTTTAGTGGGAATACGTCTGCATTCATGGCTATGAAATTTTGCCCTTGATGTACAATTAGTACCTGAATTATACACTGCAGATAAGCAATCTAGGTTCATTAAAAGCAAACAAACAAAAAACTAACTGCACTTGTTACTATAATCAATAACTAAAGCCTGTGCAAGAGAGACAATGACATATTGGGTAAAACATGAGACAAGAAGTCAGCTTGCATGGATTGTGGTCCTAGTTTTGCAATAGGTTGTACAACTCAGTATAAGTCATGTAATGTCTGCAAGCTACAGTATCCCTACCTATTGAATGTGAAGATTAAGAGCACAGATTCTGGCACCAAATTCCGTGTGTCTAAATAATTGGCCACTGGCCAGCTGTGACACCTTGGAAAAGCCACTTCATCTGTAAAATGGAGATAGTACTAGATAACCCTCTAGTTATAACAACCTTCTAGGGATGTTATAAAGACTAAGTAAGAAGATAGATAGATAGATAGATAGATAGATAGATAGATAGATAGATAGATAGATAAATGTACTCAGAATATATATTATATGAGTCTGGCACATAGTAAATGCTACATACTATATTTCCCCACGTATAAGATGCACCCTTTTTGAAAATTTCGGGGTCTAAAAACTGGGTGCGTCTTATGCAGTGGTTGTAGATTTTTTTTTTACTTGCATTTCCCGCTTTTTTCGTGCTTGTTTTTGTGCTCATACAACCACTGTATAAGACACACCCAGTTTTTAGACCCCAAATTTTTTGAAAAGGGTGCATCTTATACATGGGGAAATACTGTTAACTGCTATCATCACTATTCATGTTGTTATTATCTGTGAACTGAAGAGAGTTTGGACCAGATGAAGTCTAAAGTCCCTTCCCACTGTGAAAATCTGTGGCTAACTTAGCAGCCAGGCTTTTCCATCGGAAGTATTTAGACCTTGGCTGTATTGGTGAAGCCATCATGGTTGAGGAGGCGGACTGATTTGCCGGTTCGCAAAGTGAGTTACCCACTGAACTCAGACCAGAAACCAGGTCTCCTAACTCCGAATCCAAGGCATTTCACTATTCTAGACTGTTTCTCTGCAAGATCACGCTACATAACTTTTACTCAGCCTGACCGTATTCTCCCATGCTGAAATGGAGACTTAAAAACAGTAGTGTCTAAAATCTTACACTTGGGAAGTCAACTGTGAACTGGAAATCAAAGGCAGCTGGTGAGCCGTTAGTGAGAATGCAGCCACTGCCCTCTACTGGTTCATGGGCACGTACATTGTTTCATTCATTGCCACTTCTTAAAGCTGGACCCAAGGAGGTAGGGCTGAGTGGGAACAAGTTTTAGGAGGAAGGGAAATAACAAGACGCAGACCATATTAACTAGAAAAGAAGCATAATCTGGAAGAGAATTCTATGAGCCTCCGCCCATCCTTCACTTCATAGACTCTCCCTGCTTCCCTGTGAAGACTTCATCGTTTTCTGCATATCTGAAAAACTTCGCTTACAGTCTAGAATCTGTCTTATATAGTTGAGAGTTCTTTCTATAGGAGATAGTTCACTACCTTCTTTACACGCTTATTTTCTTGTTTCTGATTTCCCATTATTTTTGTCTTTATTCTCTTCACAAGCATCATTGATTCTAAGACATAATTTACTGGCTTTTTCTTTCTCTTAGCTTCTCTGTCTCTGGCCTTTAAATTCTTTTCTTTTGTTTATGTTTTACTTTTATGATATTTACTTATATTGTTTTGTGTCTGTGTGTTGCCAATAGGGCCATTAAGGCTTATTGTGTTTTAGTGTCTCTACAGAGATTCTAGTTTCAAGCTTTATGTAGGTGAACCGCCTCTGTTTTCACACAAACACATCTGATTCTGTTTGACAGAAGCAGTAACAAATTTCCAAATAAATAAACACTCTTACTAGTGTTGCCAAGTTTGCATTCAGCATCATTCACTTATATGGCTTTCCTATTAAATATTCAAGACCCTGGGAAGGGGATCACTTGTTAGTATGGTCTCATGTTCACAGAATCTTATCAGTTCTTCTTTTAAATATTTTTCATCATCCTTTCCTTCTGTAACTGATTACCAACTGCTTCAAGCTCTTAGACCTTCACATCTAGATTCCAGTAGCCTTCTGATTGGTCCTCCTGCCTCCCATCCTCTCCATCCTCCAGTCACAAAACTGCTAGTTCTGTTTCCCCAGACACAGTGCTCAGTATGTCAGCTCCCCCTAGGGAATCCTGCTGACTCCTTTTGTTACATCAAGTCCAAACTCTCAATCCTAACATTCAAGACCCCTCAGGATACTTTAGGATTTGGACTCCTCCCTACTCATATTTCTGTTTTGACTGTATCACTTTATCACATCTGCCTGTTTCCTATAAATGCCATGTTGGTTCCTTTACCTACCGTCCTTTGAATGTACAACTGGCCTAACTCCTCACATACCTGGCCTCAGCCTACCAAATCCTACCCATTCTTCAAGGTCCAACTCAAATATCCCTCTTTGGCCCAGAAGCACCCACTAATTCCCCTAAGCCAACATTCATCTCTCCCTTCCCCGGCAGCACCTGTTACCTTTTCTTCTTTCTTTTCTGATATAATTCAACTTCATACTTTATTGTCTAATGGTTTGAATTGTCCTTTCAGCATGTGCATACATGTTCACCAGATTATAAGTTTCTGAAGAAGCTTCTTTAAGCATGTATTTCTTTTAAAATCTTCAAACTCCCTACACTCCAGTATAAGAGCTAATGTTTAGGTAGCACACATTCTATAGCCCTCCCTGTTTTAAGTGCTCAACTCATTTAATTCTCACAGAAGCCCTATGAAATAAATAACAATTGTTCTCATTTTGCAAATGAGGAAACCAAAGCACAGAGAGGTTAAGTAACTTGCCCAAGATCACACAGCTAGTAAGTAGCAGGGCTGAGATTCAAACCCAGACAGTCTGACTCCAGAGTCCACCTCTTATCCACTATACTATATATAGTGGCATAGTAGGCCCTCCGTAATGCTTGTGCTGCTATAGAAATACATAGTTGTCATCATAAAAGAATACCATTTCCTAGTTTTTCAAGAGTAGTCCTTCCCAGGTCAGTGGCAGCTGTGTCTTTATAAAAATGCCAAAAAAAGGGCTGTGTAAATAATTTCCCACACTTACCTAGGTCAATATTTGTTCATTCCCAGATAGATAAAGGCACTGAAGGTCAAGGTCAGGAGGGTCTTCAAAGTCACCAAGACTTACCACTAACTGTTGGCTTTGCCTCTCCTTCACCATCATGTTCCAAAATACAGAATAGTTCCAAAAAGCTTATTTAAATGTTGAAAGATAATTAAAACTGGTTAGCATGTTGCTTTCTACTAGTTACTTCTTAAATCAAATATTAAGTAGGGAAAACACTGATTATCCAAAGAAGAACCTGACTTTTCATGTTGTGATCTCTTGTTTTCTCCTTAGAACACCTTGCACAGAATATATCGAAATCCCATCTGGAAACTTGCCAATACTTGAGAGAAGAGCTCCAGCAGATAACGTGGCAGACCTTTCTGCAGGAGGAGATTGAGAACTATCAAAGCAAGGTATGTACCCTGGTGGATTTGATTTAGGATTGAAGCAACATTGGGAGGGGCACTCATGCAGGTGATTTGGTCAAGACTACAAACAAAGATGGAATGCCTTTCATCAGATTTCTGTTGCAAAATCTTTCTTACACAACTGATCATGTACTTGAGGCTGTTTTGTCTTACTGAGATGCCAGCAGACGAAATTCCTGCGATAGCAAACAAGTTCCATTGTGCCTCTAACTACACACACATCTCCTATTATTTGTCAACAGGGGGGCTAAATTAAGTAGTTCCCAAAAGCCTAAATGAACTGGGATTTGTTCCGATATCATAATGGAAGTTTTCAAGGTCAGGAAGTTCATATAAAAGCATCTTAGCCTCAGGTTTCCAGAGGTGAAGACGAAGGAGTTTAGAGAATGGGTACAACAAAAAGCCTCGGAAGCTATGATCATAGCCACAGCCTGAACCTAGCAATAGGAGGCTGACAAGTGCTGCTAATTGTGTTTTTCTATAAAACACTCTGATCAACAAACCACTGAAATGGGAGGGCAGGGCTAGAGAAGGGGAACTTTTAATTATCCATTCTGCCTTTGGATAAAGAAAATGATGTGGCTTTTCCCAATAATCATAGAAATTCAGGCTTAGGAAGAACCTTAGGGATTCTCTAGGCTCATCTTCCCCTTCATTTTACATAGGAGGAAATTAACGTCCTCTGGCCTATGGCTGGGAAATGCAAACATCAGGACTAGACCATGACTCCTGGCTCCTAATTCAGTTTCTCCTACCCCATCATATTGGTGGAAACAGCCTTAAACTAAGATTGGGGGAACAAGCGAGCAACACAAGAGATCCAGGTCACCCTGTTACTAAATTGGATAGTGGGTGGATAAAAGGAATTAAACAGGACAGGTTGGGGAACAGCAACATAGCACTTTGTTTGCCTTTGAGATAGCAGATAACACCGGCAGCCAAAGTTACAAAGGGAAGCGGGAAAGCAGTAAGAAGCAGCAAAGCGTATGGAATGGGATTCAGAGTCAAAGATGCTGAGATTTGAATCCCAGCTCCAATACCTACTCACTGTGAAACCTCTGTGAGCATTCCTGTCCATTTATGGAAAATGGAAAAGTGTTCTTGTGAAAATGAAATAAGGCAAGGATGTCATCAAGCACCTAGCTCGTAACCGTGGTGAACAATAAATGTCATTGCCTCCCCCTTTTTTCCCTTCCCCCAGTAAAGTGGTATGAAATTCCCCAAGGCAAAATAATCGCTTAAAAGAAGATACTACTTTGCTACCCTTCGTGACCCAGGGTTAAAGCAGTGGCATGCATTTTCATCTTCTGCTACATATGTGCTCATAACATCTTCCTCCTCTCCCTTTGCCACCAAAGAGGTAAGAGAGGAGTTGGAGGAGATGAGAAAGGACTTGGAAGCAATCGTTATAACCCAAAAAACTGGCCAACTGTTTCTTTTTGAATCCTCTAGCCTTTTTTTAATCCCATTTCCAAAGAAGAATTTTACAAAATAGGAACAGTTAAGCCAATTGTGCCACGGATGTGGGTAACCGTGGATGTTAATGTGTCTCCTTCTTTAACAGCAGCGGGAGGTGATGTGGCAATTGTGTGCCATCAAAATCACAGAAGCTATACAGTATGTGGTGGAGTTTGCCAAACGCATTGATGGATTTATGGAACTGTGTCAAAACGATCAAATTGTGCTTCTCAAAGCAGGTATGTGCTTTGCAAGTGAAATTTTGAGATCTCTTCGTAACCTGCTTTCACCTGCTTATTAAAGAAATGCTTGGTAAGGAAGGTGTCGGGAACAGTTTTTCTCCAATGATAATAGCTTGAGTTTCTCTTAGCAGAAACTGAGTTCTTTTTAAAGGTTTTGGAGCTATTTGCAGGAAATATTCCCTCCATTTTGCTTCTCCTCTGGGTAAAAAGATTAATTTGAAGGACAACTGCATTCCCCAGTTTTACCATCACCTGTGTTTTGTTTTCACACTCTAGATCCTGGGGAGGTTACAATTAGTTGTTAGGAAGAAGGCTGCGGAACTCAGAGAGACATCCCTGGATTTTTTTTTTGTTTCAATAAATACGAATAAATGTTTTCCTAGCAACTCTGAGACTTTATACTGCAAGGCAGGAGAGTGCCAAAGAAGCAATTTGTAAATCAAGCCTCTCTTCAGTTAAGCAGGCCTTCGCTTCAGCACAAGCATGTAATTACACTAGTGAACTTCGCCCTTTTAGAGAGCTAATGTAACTGCCCACTCGCTAAACTGCACAGGACACCCCGTCCGCTGACTCAGAAAGGGCCTCTACAGACTGCCTTCAAAACCAACTCCCCAAGATGGAATAATCTACATCATTCTTCTGCTTTTGCTTAGGTTCTCTAGAGGTGGTGTTTATCAGAATGTGCCGTGCCTTCGACTCTCAGAACAACACCGTGTACTTTGATGGGAAATATGCTAGCCCCGATGTCTTCAAATCCTTAGGTGAGGAAATTTCTGAGTGTTTTGTCTTTAAGTCAGGTCCACAGGAAAAGATGGGAGCTGGGTGAAAGATCTTATTGAACAAAATGGTAGCTGGTTATTTGGAAACAAAAATTATAGGCTGTTATCTTACATCTATTTTACTTTATAGTTAGTCACTGTAGAAAATTCACACAGGTCAGATACTTTTTTCTATATTACATGTAAGGTCTAGAGTTTCATTTTATCTAATTGGTAATCGAAGAAATTTATATTATATCTCCTCCCAGTTCCCGTCCAGATTTTGAGAACCACATAGGCAGGGGATATATTAATCAGATAAACTAGAAAATGTGATTTGATACATAAAATCAAGCAAAAAGCTAAAAATCTGCCCTTCCATACTCCTCAAATAACAACCATTAATGAGAATTAAACGTAGATATTAAATGTAGAGAAATAAAGCATTGCTAAGTGAAACTGTGACATCAACTTTATAAATAAATTATTTTGGATTTCTATAAATTACATAAAGTAGCGTCATTAAGAATGGGACAGTATCTAAGATATGTGATTTTAAAAACAGTTAAATGACAGAAGGTATGTATATTTAAGTATAGTATAGCCCACTGACATTTAAATATATATACAAAATATGCAAATCTGAAAGAATAGACACCAAACTTAACCAATCTTTGAGGATGGGTTATTATTTTATGGGACTTTCACATTCTATGTTTTCAGTTCTGTAACAATTGAAATGATTTTACCACTATAATGTGTCATTTGTTAGTTTTTTTAAGGGTGTTTTAGATCAAATAGAGTTGAAAGCAAAATGAGCGAATTTAACGTGTCAGTTAGATTGTAGCTATTAAACTCTATTGGTTAAGAGTGTGAGCTCTGATGTCAAGCAGCCTGACTTTGGATCTCAGGATGGTATTTCCTACCCGTGTAACCTTAGGTACATGACTTTTCTTTCCAAGTCTGTGTCTTCACCACTAAAATGGGAGAATAAAAATAATACCTCCCTCATAGGGCTGTTGTGTAATGGTAGGAAATCCAGAGAAATCTCTTAGAGTATTACCTAACATACTAATCACACAGCAAAAGTTCACTCTCGTTAACTTGAATGATGATGATGTGATGATGGTGGTGATGGTGATATTAGCTAAACAGATTTTTCTTTTTAAGATTTTAAACTATTAAACTAGAAATGTTATCACTATCCCCTCTGATCTTCAACTCCTAGATCGCTCTTCACCTGCTTCCGTTTTTCTCCTAGGATAATAACCTAAATCCTAAACAGTCTTTATTTTACTTTGGGCAGGTTGTGAAGACTTTATTAGCTTTGTATTTGAATTTGGAAAAAGTTTATGTTCTATGCACCTGACTGAAGATGAAATTGCATTATTTTCTGCATTTGTACTGATGTCAGCAGGTAAGATACCAAATACAAATAAAATGGTTTAAATATTGTCCAGGTAAAGAATTTTTACTAGGTACATAACTTGTAGACTATTTGGTGGGCTGCCAAGAGAGGCTGCCACACTTACTAAACCTATTTTTAATTTTTTAATTACAACCTCCCCTCCACACACACACACATGCATATACCCTTTTATGAAGACATCATGCCATTCTGATTAAATCTCAAAAAATGAGAATTAGGTAAAACCCAGTCCACAATTAACTGCTTGAGAACAAGATAAATGCTGTCACTGATTGGGTTGCTCTTCTTAACACCAATCTCCAAAATAACATGTTTGTTTTTTACTTTTTTGTTGTTGTTGTTAGTTTCAGGTGTACAAAACAACATAATGATTAGACATTTATACCTCTCCAAAAGTGATAACCCTCTCCCAGTCTACTACCCCTCTGACATCATATATAGCTGTTACTATACTATTGACTATATTCCCTATGCTATACCTTACATCCGTTAACCAACAAATAGCCATTTAAGCTAAGACCATACTCATACAAGTCCCATGAAATCACCATGGCCCCTCAAGCCTTTCTAAGAATTACATTTCTGAATGAAATACTGGTATCAATCCTGCTAGCCTTTCTGGAAAATATGAAAATAACCTATAATCCAAGGCAACTAAAACTGTCAACAGAATTCCAGATGACTCAAGGGTTGTTAATTTAGGATAAAGTCTTTATGTGTAAGAATTCCAAGTAAAAGATAGTAAATTTGCTAAACTGATGATCCCTAAGAGGTGGTACTGGTTGAAAACATAGATTACATTTAGATAAACCTGTGGATGACATGCAATCCCTTCCTTTAAGAATCAGTAGAAAAGGAAAGATTTAATACCCTTTATAATGTCTTGTAGATCAGTTTTCCACTCCCATAGGAGCACATTTTGAAAGGAGAGTGGAACTGGCCTGTTAGTCTCTAAGTCTGCATTGTGGTCTAAGACTGTGGGTCTAAGAGTCGGGAGGAATTGGGGTATTCCAACATCATGTTGGGGAAATAGTAAGGAAAATCATTTTCATGTTTAGATCGCTCGTGGCTGCAGGAAAAGGTAAAAATTGAAAAACTGCAACAGAAAATTCAGCTAGCTCTTCAACACGTCCTACAGAAGAATCACCGGGAAGACGGAATACTAACAAAGGTGAGAGCCAAAGGTTTCCAGTAGGCATAGCCTGAATTAACCCTTGCCATGTACCATGCTGCCAACCAGCCTTATATCTTACAGCCCCCAAAAGCATTAGTAAGCAACAGGCTACTGAAAAGAAACACATATCTTCATTTCAAAAAGTTCTGTTCAGGTTAAATTCTATTTATCATTAGTTATAAAGTGCCGTACAATAATAGGGCAACAGTAGGATTTTTTTTAAACATTAATACATTCTGGAACTCCTCCTTCTATTCCTCAAAATTGAGCATAAAGCCAAGTTAATGTTCTGCATTGATATAAATTAGAGAATCTTTGAATTTTTAAGGAGGAAGTATGAAGTACTAAAACAATTAACCAGGATAACCATATAATTTAATATTAGTTCTATTTCTATTAAATTCATTAGTCATCCACAGTAAATGACTGTTGTATTTTTTCATCAGTTCCCCATTACTGCCCTGTATTTAAAGCATAAGGTTTTATTTTTGCTAATTATTATCTTTTGCAATAGAAACATAATTAGCATGTCAATTTAAAGTATGCTAGTTTCCTTTAGTACTAGTGCGAGTAGTATGTTTTTGGTCTTAGAAAAATCAGCACTATTCTTTCTTAAATTATTTTATGTGTTGTATTGTTCAAGAGGATGATTTGAAAGGGTTATTTTTTTTTCTACTTGTTTTCTTTTCTCCTGATAGGTAGGTTCAGTCAGAAAGGGGAAATTGAGGATTAAATGCTGTTTTGTTTGTGATTTTGCACCTGTTAAATGAGAGATTGGGGCAGGAATGGGAACTAGAAGGAAGATGAACTCTCAGGAGCTTTCCTCTCTTCTCCATCTTCTCGCCCAAATGCAAGGGTACCATTAGCTTCTAATACTATTGAGAGGACCTAACACATGGACAAGGCCTATGATCTGGTGAAAACATTTCTTAGAGAAGAATATTCAGGGTTGAAGTAATAAGTGTTTTGTGCTTGTATAGTGCTTTAATGTTTAGTGTTTAAAAAGCATTTTTGCAAATCACGTTATGATTTGCAACTCATATGATTTTCAATACTGGTACTTCCATCTAGGCCTCCTGACTTTTTCTTTATTTTTCACTCAGAGCCTTTAGCTCAGACCCAAAATTGCTTTGTTTCAGACAAAGTTCTTTCTCTAGAGCAGCGGTTCTCAACCTTCCTAATGCCGCGACCCCTTAATACAGTTCCTCATGTTGTGGTGACCCCCAACCATAAAATTATTTTCGTTGCTACTCTATAACTGTAATTTTGCTACTGTTATGAATCGTCATGTAAATATCTTTTTGATTTCCAATGGTCTTAGGCGACCCCTGTGAAAGGGTCATTCGACCCCCAAAGGGGTTGCGACCCACAGGTTGAGAACCGCTGCTCTAGAGGAAACCCATTGTAGTTGACTAGCACTCATTCTGCTTAAAACTCGTAGGAGATGTGCCACGTCTAGTTGCAGTGCCCTACCCACCCGTGACTGCCCCCTCAGCCTCTTCTCTATTTCCACATCTCTTCGTCTTCCAAAGTGGTAGAGGGCAAGGTTTAAGACGGTAAAGGAAAAAGCATATCAGAACAAGAGGGGAAGGGGAGACTTGGGTTCTCGTCTAGATTCTGCCTCTTTTACTTATGACTGTCTTTTCAGGTTATTGAATTATTTGTCTTCAAAAACATATTTAAGGTATACTTAGCATTCTATGATATAACTATATCATCATTTATTTTTACCAGTCCTCTATTACTGGACATTTACGTTGCTTCAAGTGTGTTTCACCATTATAAGCAATGTTGGAAAGATCATCTATATCCCCTGAATATTGAGTCTCATGTCTGTTCCCTCCTGACAACATGTCTTTTCTTCTCTTTACAGTTAATATGCAAGGTGTCTACATTAAGAGCCTTATGTGGACGACATACAGAAAAGCTAATGGCATTTAAAGCAATATACCCAGACATTGTGCGACTTCATTTTCCTCCATTATACAAGGAGTTGTTCACTTCAGAATTTGAGCCAGCAATGCAAATTGATGGGTAAATGTATCACCTAAGCACTTCTAGAATGTCTGAAGTACAAACAAAAATGAAAAACAAACAAAAATTAACCAAGACACTTTATATGGCCCTGCACAGACCTGGAGCGCCAACACACTGCACATCTTTTGGTGATCGGGGTCAGGCAAAGGAGGGGAAACAATGAAAACAAATAAAAGTTGAACTTGTTTTTCTCATGCATATGATTTCCATTATGCCTACAGATATGGACCCTTTTTCTGTCTCGACTTCTTGATCGTTGACCTCTGTTTACAATGTAAGGAGGGTACTAAAGTTGGAGGATTTCCTTTTCTTGTAGCTCACTGCCCACAGACTTTCTACAGAGTCACCCATCCATCTATCCGTAACAACAGAGAGTCCAGCAATAATCGGTGATCGGTGTGCATAGCGGAGGTTGCAGCATTACTTTGCACAACTTGCTCTTTGTTTCATGAAGGAAGTTTCTATTTTTTTTTCACCGATTATTGCCAGTCAGCAGGACGGCACGAAAAGGGCCCATAGCACTAGCAACAATAGCATTATAATATATTACAGGGTAAATGGGCATGAAGACTATATATAGCTAAAAGAGATATTGTTTATATATTGTTTTAATTAATATAAAATGTAGTTACTGGTGTAGCTTTTCCTGTTGAATTGATAAGGCACTTTCATTTTGCACCTTTTTCTTTAAATTAAATGCTAGCGTGTTCACTGTCGTGTCGCATGTGCACCAGAAACACAAGTTTAACTGAGAAGGCTTGGAAGGTACGTCAGGAGGTATTTATGCTGCTGTTTACAAAATTACTTTTAAAAGACTGGCTGGTCATATCTAGAAATCACAATGTTGGATTATTATTTTTTTTCATATGTGAATTTGGAATTAGAACTCTCCCTGAATTATACTTTGCGTTTCGGTAAATTTAAGGATAGATGTGTTTATGCTTCATACAAAGTTGAATGATCGATTGGTGCTGTGGACTTAGACCATCGTGCACATTATTTTCAAAAGCTTTTTAAAAATGCCACCTCATGAAGGTAGGGGAGGGGAGGCTCATTTTATACAATTCAGTAGTTATATAGACTCAGTCTCAACCTGGAGTACTTATGCTTTGAGAACAAATTGGTAACCAGAATATTTATTGGAATTTAGCTTTTGTTATAAGAAGGACCCAAAGATTATATCTGGAGCCAACACACACACTCCCCATGTGAGGACATGAAGCATTCACTTTATGAATGTTGATGTTCTTGGTATAATCTAGGAACCCTAAGAGTTTATCTCAGAGTGAACTATTTCTAGACTGGCTGCCTCCGAATGCTATAATTCTAGCATATTGCTCTCCATATTTCATAGACAATGAATAGGAGGGTGAGGGAGGCATACGATGTTGAACCAGTTTCTCTTATTTAAATAGTAACTATTTTAAGCCTTTAAAGTGAAGTCAATGCTAGCTGCAAACATTTACTTTTGTATTTATCGTCACTAGAAAACTGTGGATTGTAATTTATTTTATTAAATATTTAGAAGATTGTTTGGTTTGGGTGTTCAGGTGAGAAATATTGAGTTGTTTTTCTTTAATTCCGTGGGTTTAAAAAAATAATTCCCAGTGGGGGAAGGGAGAAGGAACAGCCTGATATACAAGTGTGCATATGTTAGAAATAAGTGACCTTTGGGAATGTAGGCATTTAGAGATTAACTTTAATCCCACTTGGGGTAGAAGTCAAACTGCTGGTCTTACGTCCAAGACCATGTTTGTATAGAAAAGGGAATGTCCTCCCATAGTGTAAAGGTGGGAGTTTCCAAGCAGCCTTTTAGAGCAAAGAAAGCATCTCCTTTACCACCAGGGTCCCTCCTGGATCCCCGGCAGGGATTGTGGCTCCTGATGTCACGCTGGATCACGGTGAAGGCTTCCCAGAGGCCTTCACTCTGCTTTGAACTCCACTGACTTTCTGACTTGTTTCCTGAGGGACTTGGAAAAGGAGAAGGAATTATTCACACAGAAATGTGTATGAAGCCTAAATAACATCTAAAAAATTTTTTTCAAAAGTATAGTAAGGGTGTAACCATAAATAGAAGACAAGAGTAATATTTACTTAAATTTCTTAGAAGCAGATAAAATTTTATGTGTTTATATAGAGAGGTTAACTATAAGCATATAGTATTTATATTTGGGCAAGAAGGGTTAAATCAAATTTTTAATTTAAATAAGCATAGTTCCTTTAAAGTTCAATAGTATTTATACTCTGAAAAGAGCACCAAGCTTAGTTCAGTTATTTATTTGTCCATGTTTTTGTCCTATTGTTTCTCCTTTGGGGGAAAATGGTGTGTTTTTATTTTGGTTTGGTTTGGTTTTTTGTTTTTGTTTTTCTGTTTGTTTGTTTTTGTCATTCTGATTCACTAAATTTGGGGATGGTTTTATTAAAGTATATTAACTTCTTTTTAACCAAAGCTTTCTGAATATGACCAGCCTCAGGTGCTAGCATATTAAAGAGCAACTAAACCTAATTCCAGTGTCCATTTGTGAAATGATAAGAGCTAATTGAATTTCTCTAAGGGTGAGAGAGAACGTAATGTTGAACTTAAAAGAAATTCTTTTTCCCAGAAAGGATTTTGCATGTACCTAATGCAAAAAAAAAATAAAAAAAATAAAAAAGGACGCTCTAATCTCAGTAATAGTCACAGCACGGTGACATTGCTTTTAGAGTAAACCAAGACACATTGACATGATGCTGTTACTAGGTATTTCTGAAAGAAAAGCAGCTGTGGACTTTGAGAGCAAAGTGTAGGAACAAAGAAGTAGAGGCATGCTCCGTGAAATGAGGGAACAGCTAACTATTATTTGGATTGAAGTTGGGATCTGAAGTTAAACAATAAATTCAGCTGAAAAAAAAAAGATATGACGTCTAGAAAAGGATGTGAAAAACTTTGCATTTTTATTTTTGTCCTTATTATAGAAACACCAATGTGATGGCACAAAATACTTGGTGATACAGAACAATTACTCGCAATAGTTCTCGTAATTAAAGTTTCCTAAACTTAAATGTCCAAGTCTTTAAAAGATTGGAATCACATCATTGTTATCCCGGCTGCTGTAAGGCCTTTTATACAAATTTTTATGTAGGGTAAATGAGGCTTTTCTACAAATCCTGAATACCTTCGGTTACAATGGTGTCCAAATGGTTGCAATATATTGTGAAGAGAGTGGCCTTGGTCACAATGAAAACAAAAGTGCAGATGAAAGTGCTTTTTTGGACAGTTTGCAAATTGTGTTAAAGCTCTGGATTTTTTTTAAGTGTTCAGCATCCTAATTTACATTCAAAGCTATGGATTTTTTTTAAAAGTCTTCAGCATCCTAATTCACCCTTCCTAACTTAAGGAAAACATGACTTATGACACTGCTTCTAAGTTTGGTTGTTCTTTATAGTATGGATACCCAGATGTCTGTGAGCATATAAGGGGTGGGCTGAGGGTCAGGTGAGGATGGAGTGTGTGTGTGCGTGTGTGTGTGTGATACTTTCGTGTGTATGATGTGCGTGTGTCGGACCGCTTCTAGGCTACTAAGTGTCAATGGAAAAGAAAATGTATTCAAAATACTTAAATCAAAACTAGAAGATGGGAAAAAAAATAAGATTTATTCTATACAAAGCCTTGTCTGGACCACTTTAGAGAGACTTCTATTTTTTTAACCCTTCTATAAATATTTGATGGCACTTGAAATATTCCTGCAATAAAATGTGATTTGTGTAAAGAAAAAAAAAAGATTTTGTAATGTGAAACAAAGAAAGAAAGTAATGTAATTTTCTAAAAAAAAAATACAAACAAACAAACTTTGTATTATTTTCTTGATGGAATTTGTCTATCTGTCTTTGGAAAACTTTTTATTTCATTGAATGTGCCATAGTAGAAATATGTGTTTTTAGTTGTAGACTAAGGAATAGCTGTTTGTGTTCCGACATTCCAAAATGCAAAACAACCTAGTCGAATCTTTAATGAAAAGGTTTCAGTAGGATGTAAGCTTCTCTCATTGTTGCTTTTTTGCACATTTTCTTCATTCCTCTCTAGTGCAATATATGTACATAGAGCACTTGCGGGTGTACCTTGATCCCTCAGGGAAAAATACATATTTGTACAGTTGTTGTTGTGGTTTTTTGTTTTCTTTTTTTTTTTCTTTTTTTTTTTTGGCTAAGGAATGTCGATTGAATCACTTGTTATTGTTGAGGGGCAGCCAGATAATAATCCTAAAGCCACTGTTTCCAACATTGATTGTTTAAATCATGTGTCCTTCCAGTGCTATTATATTAGGATAATAATAATAATAATAATAAAAGTTATTTTCTGACAGTTCTTTGTGCTGATTGGTGAAAAAAAAAAGGGTAAATAAGCACCTTATGATTGACTTACTGTGAATGACAATCCATCTTGATATCAACAATAGAAGCCCTATTATTTTGGAGTTGGGGTTAAGAGTCAGAAACAATGTGCTCAGGGATCTTCTAAAAACTCTTAAAACAGGGTGGCCAGTACTACTGGGACAAATTGTGTTTTTTATTATTAATAATAATGATAATACTATCCCTCCAGGGCACAAATGAACTGTGTAGAACTGCATGTATGTGTAAACTCTTCACCATCATCTCATTTTGTTGCATTTGAAAGTTATGTGTTCTTCAGTCTTGTGTGCTTCAAAACGCTGAGTAACTTCCAGAGCTGTAGAAAGTTATGCCAGTATGTTCAAAAGATAAACCAACAGAGAGCATCATTCAAACTACAACCCTGCATCCCCCATTTACCATTTCTCGAATAATTAAAAATACCCATGATAAATATATTTATAGCATTATATATTAAAAACTATTTCAAGTTCTACACAACATGAATAAAACATGTAAACACAAGTAATGAGATGAGAGCCCTGTGTATCAGTGCAGTGCAATGAAAGAGGTAAAAAATAAAACGTGTTTTTTTTAATGCCAGGGAATAACTATTATTTTCAGTATGTTCTCCTCCAGAAGCAAACAAACAAACAAACAAAAAATCCTTGATGTAACACCGTTCTTCTACTTCCACATTTGTAGTTTTTAATCTGTTGAATTAATACTAGAGCTAATGTTTAAAGACAGACAAACCCCACAAGATAACAGTAACACAAGCCAGCTTTTAGGGTTACATTTTACATTTTTGAAATATAGAAAGTCAGTGAATCTCAGTATAGTTGTTGGCTTTGATTCTTCCATTCCACACTTGGAATATATATTCAGAAGAAGATTTACATATTTTCTTACTACCACAGAAAAGCAAAATTTGGGAAAACTTTCCATGTCATTTAGATGAAAAAAAAAACCCACTTATTTTGTTTTTTGTTTTTGATAATAAAGACTACGGAAAATGGCAGAAATCTCTCTCTCTCTCTCTCTCTCTCTCTCTCTCTCTCTCTCTCTCTCTCTC